TTTTAAATATATCTTTATTGATTTCAGAGAGAGGAAAGGAGAGGGAGAGAGAGAGATAGAAACATCAATTATGAGAGAGTCATTGATTGAGCCCGCAAGCGGGCATGTGCCCTGACTGGGAATCGAACCCTGATCGCCTGGATCCTAGGTCGACACTCAACCGCTGAGCCACCCCCGGCCGGGCATAGCCTCAGATTTTTATGTTAGACANCTGGATCCTAGGTCGACACTCAACCGCTGAGCCACGCCCGGCCGGGCATAGCCTCAGATTTTTATGTTAGACATATAGCCAATAAAATTGATGACATGTTTGGGTAATAGTACTGTTTTATTAAGGGCATTTTCATTTATTTATGGTCTTTGGTATCCAGTATTAAGTTTTTTGGTTAACTCTGAAGTGCCTTGTTACATGGATGCAAGACAGACCATGTCTTTGAACTCCCATTTTAATTTTTTCATTTTGATGGATTGAAAACATTATTTAAAATTTATTCTGCTTGCCAGGCCTAGAAGTCTGTTCTGATTTTAGTATTTTTCCCCCCTCTGTGTGCTATTTCCTGATAACACAGGTTGTCTCTTACTGATTATGCATATATGGAGGAAACTTCATCTGATTTGTTTTTTAAGTGTTAGTTCTCTTTTAGGAAATGGAAATACATTGGTCTGTCAGTTTTATAGATATGACTCACCAGGAGGAGATGCATTAAGAAGAAAAATAAATATATGTAGTCAGTTTCCTAACTTTAGTAATGCTAAATCTGACACTGATGGCATGAGCTGTTCTTCAGGTGTTGAAATAGTTTTGCTGAATCATAGCCTGTGACTTCATGTTCTTCAGAGTTTGTAGCAATGCCCAGTTTTCTCTCTGTAGAATTCCCTTGTAATCATGCCTGAATATTTCAGTTTTCTCCTTTTTAAATGATATTTTTGTATTAAAAAAATTTGACTTTGATATTTTAGAAGTTGCCAGGGTTTTTAAAAGAATCAGCTAAGTAGTCTATTGAACTCTTTAAAAGCGCTGTACTAAAAGTAGGGGCAAGAAGCAAATATCATGGTTGCCTTGCCTACAAGGAATTTATAATTTAGTTGGAGAAGAAGTACAAACACATGTGAAACAAATAAGAAAACAGGAAAGCATATAGAGAGTACAATACAATTATTGTGGTCCCTGGCCAGGTAGAACATTGTCCTGATAAGCCAAGGTTGCAGGTTTGATCCCTGGTCAGGGCACATACAAAAATGAACCAGTGAATGCATAAATGAGTGGAACAAGTTGACACCTCTCTCTCTCTTTCTCTCCATGTCTCTCTCCCTCTCTTCCTCTCTCTAAAAATCAATAAATAAAAATTAAAAAATCAATAAAATTATTATGGGGTCCATGTAACAAGCATAGTAGGGAGAGATTAGATTAGGTGAGCTGCAGTCTTTGGAAAGTCTTCAGGAGGAGAGGTCAAATGACCTAGTGATATGCTGGAATCAGATTGCCTGAGTTCAAATCTTGGATCTACCACTTATTTACTGGGTATGTAACCTGGGCAAAATTACTTCAGATCTCTCTGTGCATCTGTTTCCTCATCTGTAAATTGGGGAAAATAATACCTCATAGGATTGTTGTGAGGGTTAAGTGAGTGAATACATGCCAGGTGTGTAGGACAATGTGCCTGCCATATAGAGAGTGCTTTATAAATTTTAGTCATTATTTTTATCACCTTCATGGAGATGGCAAAACAAGGCTTTCTTCAAGTACCAGAGCCTTGAAGGGTAGGTGGAATTTAGATAAGCAAAGAGGAGAGAAAAAGATAATATTTATAGGTTACAAGGTTTTATACTCCTGTCCCTGAAGAAAAAAAACTTAGAAAATTATATATAGAAACCAAAGTTACTGTTCTTTTCCATATTTTAGTTGGTAATTTCAACAACGATTTATGTTCAGTTTTGCTGTTTTTCTTCAGCCAGAGCTGCTTGTGCAATGAAAAGGTTATTGTCTATAATTAGCATTTATATAATTATTTTCTATAATTTGCTGAATTATTAAAATATTAGATATATTAGAAAAGGCTTAGCCCAAGCAAAATTTCTAACAGAACCAGTATTGATTTTTTATTTTTTAAAGTGGGTCTGAGGTGGGGAGATATAGTGGGTTAGGATGGAGTGAAGGTGGGAGGAGGCTGGTTGCCAGTTAACGTGTGAGGGTCAGTGGAGAGTGAATATAAAAATGTTGCTAGCAGTTTGTAGAGAGATGATATTGTTCTACTGAGGTCTCTCATAACCTGGGAATTGAGCCCATGGCTACCTGAGGGTTTCATTGATTATTTGAAAGCTTCTGACCATGACCCTGGTGCCAGTGAGACATCTGATCTGAGAGTCTCAGCTTACCGGAATGGATCACTTCATTGCAGGAATGGCTGTGGCTGCTGTTTCAGATTAGCAAAATATAAGGGAGATAGGTAGCTTCCTAGAAAAAGAACACCCAGTATGCACAAAAGGGCAGGGAGCTCTGAGCAGTCTGGTTTATATTTTTTTAAAATAAAATTTGTTTTACATATGTAGCATTATAATGGTAATTTAAAAAGGTATTAAAAAATATCTGGAGTCCCACAATTCTAAGAGCTCCCTTTCTCCATACATTTTCTCCAGGTTTTGTCCTGAGGCATAGATACTGAAAGATATTATAACAACATTAAGATGATTCTTATTTTTTAATTTTTAAAAATATATCTTTATTAATTTCAGAGAGAGGAAAGGAGGGGGAGAGAGAGAGATAGAAACATCAGTGATGAGAGAGTCATTGATCAGCTGCCCAGCCCGCAACCCCGGGCACGTGCCCTGACCGGGAATCAAACCCCAATCGCCTGGATCCTAGGTCGATGCTCAACCGCTAAGCCATGCCTGGCCAGGCGACGATTCTTTTAAATGAAAAATCTCCCATATTCTCATTACCTTATTTTAGTTTTATTTTTTCCTGTATAATTCCATTTCTCACATGTGTGCTTCCTGTTTTCAGACGCAAGCATAGGAGTATACCACATTATTTCTCCTTTTTAAAATTTACTTAGTATTATGTCAGATCTTTTTACTTGTCTCTTCATAGTTTGCAAGAATTATATTTTATGTGATTTCATATTCTTTTATATTTGTACTATATTTATTAAACTGCTATCCTGTGTTAAACATGTCTCGTTACATGTGATGGTTGATACTTCTTCCTTCCACCTCTGAGTCTAGAACATACTGAAAAATAAAACACAGAAGCTAGACAGATGGAAATAAAAATTTAGTTTTTATTCAGCCCAATTGGAGAACACAGTTGATCAGTGGCCAAATAGACATTCTAAGCCTATACAGGAAGACCCACCTGAGAATTAGAGGCTGCAGAGCTAGCACACATACTCACAACCACTTTTGCATTTGAGCAGCTTCCTAGCACATGAACTCTGTCCGTTGGAGAAATGTAAATTCAGCAGAGGTG